GCCCTACCCACTGAGCTACAGGTGCCGAGCCATGTGCCTAATTGTTTTTAAATTAATATTTTATCTTTTGTATTATGAAAAATTCAATATTCCAAGTCTTATTATCTAGAAAATGAAAATCCTCCATAATCTCATCCCTCAGTGGTAATCACAAAAAGGAATAATGTATAGGTAATATATATGTATAGAATATGACACATAACCAAGTATGGTGGGTTATCATTCTATCATTTTGGGAGGCTGAGATAGAAGGATTGCTTAAAGCCAGGAGTTTGAGAGCAGCGTGGGCAATGCAGCGAGATCCTGTTTGTACAGAAAATTTAAAAATCAGCCTGGCATGGTGGTGTGCACCTGAAGTCCCAGCTACTTGGGTTTCTGAGGTGGGAAGAAGATCACTTCAACCCTGGAGTTTGAGACAGTAGTCAACTATATGATTGTACCTATGAATAGCCACTCCACTCCAGCCTAGGCAACACAGGGAGACTTTGTCTCTGGAAAAAAAATGAATACATCTAGGGTCCCTTTTTTCCCCTTTAATGTTATACTTCTGCTGCTTTTCTTCCAGGGTTTAGGCTAGGTTGAACTTACATCTTTTTGTGAGGCAGAGTCTCACTCTGTGGCCCTACGTAGAGTGCCGTGGCATCATAAGTCACAGCAACCTCAAACTCCTGGGCTCAAGCAATTCTCTTACCTCAGCCTCCTGAGTAGCTGGGACTACAGGTACCCACCACAATGCCTGACTAATTTTTCTATTTTCAGTAGAGATGAGATCCTGCTCTTTCTCAGACTGGTCTCTGAACTCCTAAGCTCAAGCACTAGGGTTATAGACATGTAGACATGAGCCACTGTGCCTGGCCTGAACTAATAATTGAGTGGCTCTTTGTGTTTGTGTTTTATCATAGAAGTACTTGGGACAGTAGACTTTGTTGCCCCTGATGACCGAGTGGTCTTCCGCACTTGTGAAAGAGAACAGAACAGGGTGGTCTTCCAGATGGTAAGAGACCCCATTACCACTGCCCTTCTGAGACTCACCCTTTCCTGGGATTTCCCAACTCATGCCCTGTATTGGGCCAGTGTTGAGTGTTCAGGCTATATTGCGTAATGGTGGCTTTTTGGAGACTCCTTTAATGTTTTTCAAAGATCTGCCTATGAGTGATAACACTGTTGGAGACAGTTTATGGAATTCCAGGTATTGTAGTCTGTTTTGTGCCTCTAGTCTCAAATTTAATTTATAGGAATTATCTGTTTGGCTTTATTTTTATTTTATTTTTTATTATTATTATTTTTTTTGACAGAGCCTCAAGCTGTCCCCCTTGGTAGAGTGCCGTGGCATAGCTCACAGCAACCTCTAACTCCTGGACTCAAGCGAGTCTCCTGCCTCCACCTCCCAAGTAGCTGGGACCACAGG